AGAAATGACGGAGCGAGATCTCGTCGGAGAGAATCTGGTCGAGTTCGCAAGCCGCGGGAAGACCCCGTCGCGAAGACGTTGGCGACGACGACAACGACGTTTCTTCGCCGCGAAGAGGAAGACGCGTTCGACGACCTACCTCGGGCAAGGTGGGAATCATAAATCCCTGTCGATGAAACGAATCGAGGAAACGGCACTCGATTCCGTCCGCCGCGCGGAATCTTTTAATCGTCGCTAATAACAGGGTGCGCGCGGCCGGTAAGAAACACGGAACGCCGCGCGCATCTCCGGCGCGCGGGGCCCTATCGAGTGATTGATAAGTCCATAAAGCATCCTTCGCTCCTCTCGTAATCTTCGTTTGGTCCGCTGGTGTCGATCAACACACCGGCGGTGGCGGTGCCAGTGGTTTGTGGTGGTTGTGCGATGCTTGTGGTGGTTATATGATGGTGGTGGTGGTCGAGATTGCGGTTATGCCGAACGAATACGCAGCGTGCCCCGTGTGCGTGCAGTGTTTTTTGGCCGCGGGTGACGCGGTGACGAGATGATGACCCACCCGAAGTCGGAGAATCATCATGATTACCCCGCCCGCGTAACTCGTAATGCGGACGAAACCACCCGAGCAACTGCCACCGTTGCGCGCCTCTCTCTTCCTCACGGTATCCTCTTATTTTCCCTCCGTCACCCTGCGCGCTCCACGCTACCGGCCGTTTCAGCGCAGATTTCTATTATTAGGCCGACAGGAACTAACCAACTATCCCCGTCTCTTTCCGAGCTTTCGTCCGCGTGACCGACGGGAGCGATCGATGAAGAGGACGACGCGCGATTTCGTACGCAAATCTCGCGATGGATCTCCGAGCTTTCGCAACGGCGAGAAACGCTTTTCTCTCTCAGAGCAGAGAGAGAGAGAGAGAGAGAGAGAGAGAGAGAGAGAGAGAGAGAGAGAACGCTCTCAAACCGGCGAAAATTTCGCAGCGATTCCTGTATGCTGCAGGGGTGGAATTCGATATACGGTCGTGAGAGGAGCGGAGGCGGCCGCGACGACGGCGGCCAGTCTCGCGAACGATCGTCGTGTCAGACGTATAATCAGACGATTATGCTCGTAATAACAGGCCCGAATTCCGAGTAGGAGAGCCCCGAAACCGATTTGCCGATATATGTATACGTGGTCTATGAGAAGTTTCGGCTCTCTCGTAAAAAACGTCGCGTAATTTCGTCGACAGCCCCAATCGCGGTTTGCACCCCCACCGCCACCGCCGACCCGTCCGTCGTCCCGCTTAGAGAAACGATTTCGTTCCTCTTTTCGTTTTTCCCTTCCTAGTCTCCCGGTCGCTTTAGACGCCTGAGGACAACGGTTCAGGCTTAATTACACTTTCGGTGTTTCAGCGCGTGTTTGGTGTGTGTGAATAAATGATAATCTTGTGTGTAAATAATTTCGAGAAGCCATGCGTGAGACGGTCGGCTGCCTTTTTCATACGGGAGAAAATCGCAGGTTGACGTAACATATACCTGTGTGCTACATATGGATAATTAACTTCAATTGGATAATGACCAAATGGTGCTTAATGATAATAACAATGAGTACAATAACAATATTAACAGCAATAATAATATCCAAATTTGTGTTTGCGATAGCTTAAAGTTGCAATAGAAAATAAACGTTAAGTACTCTCTTATAATTCCAAGTTTCATTTTCCTTTATATGAACGTCACTTGTAACGTTGTTTCAATTTGAGAATCAAAAGGATGTATTTAACCGTTATGTATCTCGAATAATATCGCTAATATTTATATTGAGTCAAGCGTTTCTCCATAGATATTTAGAATATGCTAGAAACGCGCAGTAATTGATCTCTATTTTCCCGAATACTTTTGCCCGAATATCAAATATTAAGGTATATGGAAATTTTAAAGGGAACGAATAAACAAATAAATAATAATTGATTAATATAAGTAATTAATAAATCCCTATACATCTTAATGTTTAATAAAATCCGAGCAGGAATTCCGCAACGAGTGCCAGAGTTTCAGATAAACGTTTACCCCTATTATTTTATTATTCGTGGTAAAGAAAATTTACACCAGTTACCGTGCGAGTTTTTATTTACTATCGATTTATAGAGCACGGAAAAAATGCTCGTGAGAGAACATACTTGGACCCGCCGATCGAATTTTAATCGGTGCGCCGAACCCCAAAGTGCGCCGCAGTGCACACCTCCGTTGGGTGCATCGCGCGAGGAGGGTGAACGCGCGTCGGGCGGTGGCTCGCCGACGAGTGTCGCGGCGCTGCTCTAAAACAGGGCCGCTACGCATGCGCGCTCCCGTCGCTCCCCGTCGGTGCCGCCACGCGAGTGGAGCTGCTCGGGGTTGCGGAGAGGGGAGCACCTAATCCCAACTTGCCCTACGCGCCAGGCGCGTCAGTCGCGCGAGAACCTTCGACGTGTGGAGGTGTCTCCCCGCGCTCCGCGTGTGCACCATCGCCGCTCTCTCCCCCGTCTCTCTCCCCACCCAACACGCGCGCGCGACGCATCACTGCCACTAGTATAATAGCCACAATACTGCCGTACTGTACTGAGCTGCGTGCATATATATATATATAGAGAGAGAGAGAGAGAGAGAGAGAGAGAAAGAGAGCGCGCGCCATCGCGATATTGTGAAACTCTGTGAGGGATTGTCGTTGTCGTCCAAGTGCGAGAGTGGAAGAACGCGCGTGACAAGACGGGAAGGAAGGTGGACGTGCTCGTTCGCGAGTGCTCCTCGAACGTGTGAAAGAAATTGAGAGAACTGTGTCGAGCGAGCTGTGTCGAGCGAGCTGTGTCGTGCGCTCGTTCTTTTCGACACTCATCTTCTCGTTGTCGTTGGTGCGTCTTTCTCTCTTTCTCCCATGCCGCTCGTTCAACGTTAAACACTACGTACATTGCCGGAAGCACGTACGCGCGCGCGCGCGCGCGCGAGCAAGCGAGCGAGCGAGCAACTCGCGATCCGTCGCGCGTTGCTCCTTTGGCTTGACGAGAGCGTCGTGGTCGTCGTGGTCGTCGTCGGGGCCATGAGGCATCGCTGAGTCCACGGCGTTGCGTCTGGGGAAGAAGGAGGAAGAGCAAGTAAGCCAGCAAAAGCAAGCAGGGACGACGACGAGGGAGACGGAAGAAGTGGGAGGCGTTGCTTTATCGGAGTATATCGGAGAGCAGGCGATTCTCAACGACGGTCGCGCGTCGAGATTTAAACTGCCGCCACCGCCGCCGCCGTCGTCGTCGTCACCGCATCAGCCACTAGGCGATTTAAATGGTGAGTGTATAGTGTGAAGTCACACAGCGGTTTTCGCGTCGCGCCGCGTCGCGTCGCGTCGCGTCGTTTGCGCTTTGTGCTCTGTGATGATCGGTTCTCCCTCCCTCGCCCCTTTCTCTCTTTCTCTCCGCGATGACGCTCCTCGTTTATTATCGTCGCGTTGCATCGCGCCGCGCTGCGATCGCATGACGCCCGAGAGTCAGACTATGCTACCTCCCTCTCCCGCCGTCCTTTCTGCCCTTCTTTCCATCTTCTTCTCCCTCGTACTCTTCCCTTTCGAAACGGAGCGATGCCGCGTGCGAATTTTTGGCCAGTGCCGCGATCGATGCCTCGGGGACGCTTTCGTGTACGCCCTCGGCTCCTCGTCCTTTGACCCTTAAATGTGCAAGCGGCATGCGCGCAGGGCGAAGTTCGGAGGGCTGCGGGGTTTCGTACGCTGGCCGAAATGTATACATGTATCTCCTCCTCGCCCGGTCGTCTTATCTTTTTTTCTCGCTCGTTTGGTTTTCTCCTCTTTATTTGAGAAAGCGGTACTATGTGTCGATAATTCGAAAATGAAAGTGGCATCACGCATGACGTGTGATACGAAAAACTTTCGGCCGCGAGACAACGCCGTTATGAGGATTTCGAATTATGGGAATTTTACGTGAAAACTGTCAGAAAGAACGAGTAGCTCTTTTTATAATTAGAAATTATATTATTTTTTAATTGATTATTTCTATTATTCGGAATCATTTGGCGATTTTGTCGAGACATCTGCTGCATTTTTATATATCCGCAAAAGCCGACATATTCGCGATGAAATTAATATGGAAATTTTGCGCAAATAACCGTATATGGGCTCTTGCTTAAGATAGAGTTATATGTGTACCAATTGATACGTAAATACGGATAATAATAGTGAAGCAAGCAATATTTCGACGCGTCTTTATTTTTTTCGGTAAGCTCCGCGTATTTTCTTTTTACATCGCGGTTGAAATCTTCATAAAGAGACACTTTTATTTACGTTACGCGGGGAGAGAGACATCTGAAAATAAAAGATACAATGAAAGGTGAATACAGGTCTTCGGTCCGCTAACGTTACATAAAAGGAGCACCTTCCCTTAAAGGTAATACAAGTCCGTCCTCGGATCATGCGAGTGCGCCGCGAATGTTCGTAATCCACGAGGAGAGTGCAGTGCACATGACGTTTTCGCGTGGAAGCCGCACTTCCGGCCATTATGCTCGTGGCCTTGATGAGGCCTTGCTCCAAATAGCGAATAAAAGCCGTAACACTTAGGCGAGATCGAAATGCGACTGTAAACCTTGGCATTTGGTGCGGACCGTTGAATACCTTTGTACTTTTCGCTTCGTTGTTGCGATAATTCGAGCGGGAAATATTTCACGCGAATGCCCTTTCTCGAAGTATCTCTCTCACGACTCGTCGAGACAGAATCGAGCGATTTATCAAGGATCTCATCTCCACGAGCAATCTTATTAACCTTCTATAATTCACATGCAACTCGAAATTGCTTTATGCATTTTTATTTTTTCAACTTGAAGACAATTCTGATAACTTCAATTCAGAGTTTTCTGACTCTTTTATATTTTACCAGATATTCAGTTAATCAACAACTTGTTCTTCCTTGTTATTTACGGCAGTTTGTATAGAACAGTCATATATTTCTGTTTATCAGGTCAGGACAGGTGTCGTATAAAGATAATGAAGAGTTGATTAGTCGAGATTTGACTCTGAACTTTTATTCCACAATTAGTATCCGCCATTTTCTTGTTATATTATTTTTTCAACAGCAAAATGAAACTGGGTTATGGAGGGTTAAAATCGATATTTTGGTGCGCGTAATTTCCGTTCTTTGTCTTCACTTTTTAATGAATTTGAAATGGTCTGCGCGTGGCATGCGAGTGGAAATGAGCGAGGATTATTTCTAAATACCCTTTTCATTAAAGCATTAAAGTTTAATAAAACGGCAATAGCCGGTCGACCTTTTTATCGAGGGGGTCAGAGAGGAAATCGGAAACGTGAAGTGATATTTAACAGGGTGTTAATTATTGTGGCTTGTGTGGGCAAATGCAACAAGTCGCGCAAATGCCGAGCCACGATGATAATGTTCGAAAGGTCGAAGATTACCGTGCGTCCGACCGTCAACCGACCGATTGGGTGCACCACAGAAAACTGGGTCGCGTATAACAAATGTCGATGTCTTTACGGTCGCGACGCCTCTCGACTCGATCTGCCGCACTTAATTATCGTGATTGCACACGTTTTTTTTTCCTATAAATTTTTTCCTATAACGTGTTCCTTGTTTTTGTAGGAGACGTTCTCGCAATGTCTTCGTATTGAGATATTTGTTTCGACTCTATGTAGTATGTAAACTGAATTCCTGTTTTAATTTAATATTCTCGATTTATTTTGAAGATTTGATGCTAATGAATGTGAAAACTTATGATAAAGAATGCGGCTTGTATAGACCCGGATTGATGGCCGAAAAGTTTTTAAACCCTTTTACCGAATTAATCGAGAATATTGAAATTCGCTCAATGATGATAGGCACGATGTATCTTTGTAACGTAATATTCTAACTGACAGGAGAAATTACGTCAAGCAGATAATATCAGAATCGGTTTAATCATGATTCTCCACCAGCAAAATTAATCTGCTTTTGTAACACGAGCTTATGATTTGTGCTTTGAACGCAAAACAGTTACACGAATGAAATAGCTATTCAAGCGCATACAATCAAGCTGGGTTGAATAGAGAGTACCTCAAAATGTCTCAAAATGTCTTTACGATCTAAATTTGTGAGAATCCGGTTAAACAAAATCGTCGTCAACAAAAACGTTGTCATTGGAATAAAATCGGCGAATTTTGACTGATCGCATCGCAATTACGGCCAAGTTGCGAGAAGGATTCGACTCGCGTGCTTTCCGGTCTTGAAGGAGGTTGAATTTCGTTTCCTTCACGCCAACGAAAAGTTATGCTCGCGACAAGACATACAGGGTGGGTGGCAAGGAAAGAGTCGACGCAGAATTGAAATTCTCGATCTCTCACGGTCACTGACCATGGCATTCAGGCAATGCCACGGTGCCGCTGAACGAGTCGCGGAGATCACTGGCCCCGGTTTCTCGGTCAAAGCTCGGTTCGGCGGTGGCCCGATGAGATCGATGAATCGCTCAGCAGCCGATACGCACATGCGATAGAACGATAGGAAGCGGATTATTCGACGGCGATTCGTTTCCATAATTGTAAGCGTGTGTACACGCTTCCGATTCGCATTGTCGTCGATGTGAGTCTCGCAACAATTTCGCTGCTGTCGTGAGAGAGAGAGAGAGAGAGAGAGAGAGAGAGAGAGAGAGAGAGAGAGA